CCCCCCAGCTCCAGCTCCCACAGCCCTAACCCTGCTTCTCAAGCCAATCTCAAACTGCTCCCCCCAAAAAAAAAATTATGCATTTTCCCTCAGCCCAGCCCCCCCCCCCTGTCTGTGCCCTCCACTACGCAGGTTTGCTCGAGGAGGATCCTGGTCACCTGGGGCTGCCGGGGGAGAGGGGTTCAGTGGGTCTGGCCCCCTCTCCACTTCACCTCGCTGTCTCCGGGGCTTGTTTTCCGTTGCCTGCGGTTTGATTCAGTGACTCAGGCAGCGAAAGCAAGTCTGGGAGGCTGCGGAGCTGCTGCGGGGAGAACTGCACTTGGGGGGCTGGGGAGGAGAGGGATGGGGGGGAGCAGCCGGGGCTGTGGGGCTGTATGGAGTTGGGACACCCCATGACGGGGTTCAGGGGAGCTCAGGGGACAAGCTGGGGAATTGGTGGTGGTGTAACATGGTCTCTGCTCGTGTCTCTCCCCGCCAGCATCTGCTCCCTGTCCCCGATGGAGATGGGCAGCAGGGGTGAAGCACTCAGACCCCAGCTCAGCACCCGTGGGACCCCCTGTTTCCTAAACCCTTTGAACATCCCCACCCAGGAGGAGCCACCAGCCCTGTTGGGCTGTGGCATCCTGAGGCACCCCGGCTGAGGGTAGCTCCCCATGGACTGCAACTTCTTATGCAGGGCACATTTCGGCTGCAGTATAAATATTACCTGTGGGTCTGGCATGGTTGTATCCTGGTTTCCATTGGATTCACGTCTCCTGGCGTCCACTTTCAAGAAATTCAGCTAAATCCAGCATGAGAGCTCATCCTTTTACTAGACATCAACGAAACACTGCAGGAGAGGTCATGGGCTGATGGGCAGCTTGGCTGTGCAACGCTGGACTCGTGGAGCAGAGCGGGTGCGCACTGCTGGCACGCTGCCTTGCTGCCTGAAGCTGTGGGGTGCCAGCGGAGGGTCCGCTCTTGGCCGGGGGGACAGAGCCATCTTCAATGGCTCTGTCCCCCCGGCCAAGAGCGGACCCTCCGCTGGCACCCTGCAGCTGCATGTAGCAGCTGGAGCCATGGCTGGTGGGGGAATATGAGGAAATACCCAGCCAGATGTGTCTTTTGGGAGCTCAGATCACCCCAGACCCTTTCCCTGTTACAAGTTTCTCCTTGAATCGCCTTCCCATCTTCACAACACCCAGGAAAAGCTGGTGGAGATGGGGCCATGCAGGTTTGGGTGGATGTTGGAGGGGTCACCCAGCTTCTACAGGTCCTAATAAAGATGGGTCAGAGATGGGGACTCCCAGGATGGTCACTGGCTTAACCGTGCCTGAGGCAGGGACTGTCCAGCAAAGCACCGAGAAGCCAGGGAGGTGGCAGAGCTGTGCTACGTCCTGGTGCCACCAATCGCTGGTGCTGCACTTACCCACCCCGGAGCTCTGGGCACTGCAAAAGGACCTCAGCATCGGGGTCCCGGAGCTGAAGGGATGTGGTGGGGACACAACTGACGCACCCCACGGCTCTGGGAGCTCTAAGGGGACCCCAGGACTGTGCTGAGGACCCCAGAGCTGGAGAAGGGGCAGGCAGGGAGCCTCACGGCCGGTGGCACGGATGGGTCAGGGGGACGGAGGCAGGTGGGACGACGCCGATGCCGCGCGGTGAGATACGGAAGCGG